GCCATTGTTTCAGCCTTCTCATCACCCAGGAAAAAAAGATCAATGTTGATATTTTCCAGTGTAGTGCTCCAAGCAGAGACTATCTTTTCCCAGGGTCCCTGAGTCCTCAACATGCTTCTTCCATTTCTTTGGAGTGATGCTGTTGGCAGCCCACTCAGATCTTGTCTTCTTTCATCTTTAACTTGGAAGTTCCCACCCTATTTGGAAGAGTCACCTCCTGCAGTGGACTTCATCTTCTACTGTGCAAAGCCCAACACACTGCTCTCTTAGTTGCACTAACAAGCTACTGCAAAACCATATGATGCAATTTGGACAAAATCAAAATGTTGGGGATGAATTCACTGTAGGGTATACAAGGAAGATTTCCTGGTTTTCAGAAAGTTATTTTCAGAAATTCTTTGTCCTCTGTTCAAATCATGTCTGAGTGCAATGTTTGGGAATTATGTCACCATCTAACCACAGGGCTGAAGATGAAGCTAGAATATATGTAAGAGTGGATGCAAGTAATCTTAGAAAAAATGTTATGTAGACCTATCCTACATATCTATAATAGGGCAGAATAAACATTGCTATTGTGAAAGTTATCCCCTTTTGGCTATTTTTGCTACTTGCTGTTACACACAAATAAAACAATCCAGAAAGTTTTTATTGAACTATCCTTCTATATTCCAAGGAATAAAATACTTAAGAGGTTTATTCTCAGACCTATCATGTTGAGGAAATCATTAAAAGGAGAGTAGAAATTCCATAATTATTATCATTATTATTTTGGCAGTACCGGGGATGAACTCAGGACCTTGCTCTTGACAAGGAAGCGCTTATACTACTGAGCCATCTCCCCAGGCCACCATAATTATTATTATTTTTGTCCTTCTAAGACAGGTTTCACTAAGCAATTCAGATTGGCCTTGAAATTACTTTGTAGCCCACTGTGGCTTTGAATACAAAGAAGTCCTCTTGCCTCAGTCTCATGTGTACTGGCATTACAGGCATGTGTCACCATACCCAGCAAATTATTTTCATATAGATCTTTAAAGATTATAGTGTTTTACTTCCAAAGATCACTTTTCTATTATTTTTATTAACCTCATTGGCTTTTTATACTTGAAGCATTATGAACCATGTTACATGTTAACAAAGGAAGCTAAGCAAAAATGACTTTATATTGCAATAATTCACACTATTTAATGACCTCAAATGCAATTGTATAAATCAATTTAAATTATGTTTTGCACTCATATAATGAATTGTCCTCTACTTTTATATCTAAAAATGAAATTTAGTGGAAGCCTGATAGAAAAGAAATTCACTTTTGCCTACAACTTTGTAAGTTATTAACATTCAGGTAGATTGTATAAAAATAATAAATCACACACACATATATAGGGTATCTATTGTATAATAGGTTTGACACAAATATACCTGCTAAACATTATCATGTTTATGGTATTAAAACTTGCTTACCATCTTGGTGTTCATAGAGAATATAAATATTCAGACTAATAAACATGCAATTGTAATAGTGTGATAAACACTTAATAGTTCAATGTGTGAGATCTTCCACTTAGCATTTGAGTTTAAACTGGAAGGGCAGGCAAGGATTCCTGGGAAAACATATCACAATTGAGTCCTGAAATATGTGTTTAATTCCAGTAAAGGCAAAAGCATTTTGATAATCATAAAAACAGAGTACTGGAAAAGAGAAAAACTACACACTAGTTGTGTTCATAGAGCTGAGGAGGAAAACAGAAGCATCAAGATGAGTGAGGTGGATGGAAAAGTCAATTCTGGTGCCAAGGCCAAAAGGCCCTGATGTTGAGGGCCATGAGTTCAGGTGTAAGAGTGACTCTTCACTCTGTATGTGGTGTCTTTTGGTTATTGGATATGAGTGGGCAGTTGTGTGCACAAGTTTGGGGTCTGGATGTTGTCTTGGTTACTTTTCTCTCTTTGCTAGGACAAAATACCCAACACCAAAATGAAGGAAGGAGAGGTCTAGTTAGCTTACAGTTAGTGGAGATTTCAGTCCATACTCAGCTGGCTCAAGGCAGAGTAGCACAGGGCAGAGGGCAGTGTTCGCGGTGGTGGATAAAGAGCTAAAAGCAAAGGGAGGAGCAGCAGCTGTGGCAGCTAGCAAGCTTCTCTCCCTCGATTATATTGTATTCAGTCCATTCACCCCAGGGCGATTGTACTGTTCATACCCATAATCCTGTAACTGGATCATGAATTAAACACAAACTCTAGAAGCCTGTCCCAGTGACCTCATGAGGCTTTGGGGGGACAACTAGATGCAAACCCAAGCCATAACAGATATTGATCAGTCTGTGATTCATTAAATGATGATGACACTGTTGACCTTCTAATGTGATGCAAACTGAATATGGTAAGATAAGTAGGCACTCACAGAGTGTCAAGGGGGCACACAATGTTTGCATGTGCTGTCTTCTCTGTGAGGAGTCTTGTGAGGACTCCTCTGTGAGGAGTCCAGGTTTTCAACATCCAGTATGAGCTAATTAAAAACAACTACAATAGTTCAAGTCTACACATAATTATGATGTATTACATACTCTTCACTTTGCTAACACGCACATTTTATGCAGGAACACTTTTATTATCCCCATTTCATAGATGTGAAAATAACACAAATAGCTACTCTCCTATGATGTCTCTCTCTATAGGAAGATGTATCAAAATACATTATAGCTTAATAGGCTTTTAACTTTTAATGAGTTTATAATATTTATGTCACAGAAGAATATTATTGTGTTTTTCTTTGTCTTACTTTCAATAATGACAAGACATTTTCTGAGATACCTACTATAATAAACTCATAACTTTCAAGTTCATATTCAAACATTTTGTTTTATATACTGCCAACTCTACAGTTGATTGAAATTCATACACAAAAGCATAAATATAAAGTTCTATTTCAGATTTGTATATTCAAGTATTTTCATATCCATTGACCAGTAGGTTTGAAAAGAACTTAAAGTCTTCTTTGTCAGATATACATGTTTGAATTACACCTGCCAGTTGGCTGTTGTAGCAAGACTTCTATAGCCTTAAACACCAAAATTTCCATAAAGCAATCCACACCTCAGTATTTGTAGTTGTTCTCAGTAACATTTCTTCACTACCATTCTCATACATTTCTGCAGCATTTAGAAAGGGATACATGTGACATGCTCCATATATTATGTGAAGAGAAGGAATCTTCATTAAAACGTACTTAGTATCCCTTACAGTTCTTTGTGACTTTGTAAAGGGAAAGCAGAATTGCCTTAATTTAAGATATGAACAATTTTGTGCTAGAGAAAATGCTTGAACAACTAAGGAAACATTTTGAAGCACATTGACATGTGCTGAATTCTCATAACATTTGAATATCACGGCTGTCTGGTGCCTGCTACTGTCCCTGACAACTGAGGTAGCCAGTTAGGAGTTTTTCTTAAACTTTGATTGTTTCCATTTCAAGTGCTTGAAAAGTTGAACCTGATTATGAACTGGGGAGCAAACCAAGAACTCAAGCTGCTAATCTATATTAGAACATGATCAGCTTGTATCATGAATAGTTGACCTTAGAACAGAAAAGAAAGAAAAAATGATTGTTCTATATTGGACTTAGTGGTTTTCACCTGTTTGCTGTTTTGCTTATCCTTATAGCACTATCTATAAACAGAACCCAGTGAAAATGACTTCAATTTTAATACTTTTTTGATTATAGAAAAAACTAAAGTAAAACCAAACTTTATAAATCTCATTTTTCCCAAATTCATTCTTTAAGTGTGAAAAGATCATAAAAATGAATTTAAATGTTGAATCCTGGTTTCTGAGTTTATGTAGAAAATACCTCATTGGGATTCATATTGGATTTAAAGGTTTTCTTTAGCAAAGTTATTCCTGACACCTGAGGAAGAGAATGAATTTTTGGTTGCTAAGTTAGAGCTCGACATTATAGTTCTAGATATCTGACTAAGGGGAAGTTACCATTTTCTGTGCTGTGAATTTCCAGTAGAAGCTGAATTTGTCACAGGTGCTACAATTTGTGTTTCAGAAAATTTACTTCCCTAACTTTAATTACCCCGTTCTATATAAAGTACTAAAAAGAGTCAGCATTTTTTTCAGTTTAAGTACTTTGATGTAAATTAGAATTTTTGTCTACAATTTACATATTATAGAGAAAATAGAATTTCAAATGAAGGCAAAGAGTCTTGAATTTGCTTTACAGCATGCAACTATTTTTTTTTTCATTTTTTTCCACTTTGGAAGCAAAAAAAAAAATACTGCCAAATAAATAACAAATTGAAAACAGACAAATGACATTTGTTAGGAGATTAATATCTGAATAATCAGAAAGTATAGATTTGATCTATAAAAGTGGAAAATTAGAAACAGGAAATGCTGGGCCTAAAAATATTAAGTAAACTTAGAAATGGTTGTTTATTTTAAAGTACTATTTTGTATTTTAAACTTACATATATAACTATTGTTGTTGTAACAGATAGCCACATCTTTACTGAGATAGCAGGGAATTGAAGACAATAGGAAAGAAAGTACTATTCTGGAAAAGTAATCCTTCTTAATATAGTATATTTCATCCAAGGGATTTTTTTTTCTTTTTGCCATAATAAAGAAACATTCCTCTTCAACCATTCAGTAGAAAAGGCTGATGAGTGATTTATCCTGTGTCTCCCTACACAGGCTGTTTCTGTGAAATTAGCTGAGATTGGCTTGCTCAATTAGATCTTTCACCATTGAAATCTGTAAGAAGCGATTATAGATTTAAAAATAATTGTTAAGAGACTAATGTTATCAAATGATTTAATTTGCATATATACTACAGTTAAATTGTTTGGAATATTTTTAGGTGAGATTCATTCATACCTTTGCTTTGTATTAATGCAATTCCAACACATGGAATAGTTAATTGAACTGAGAAATAAATGTGCTTATTGGCAATTGCCTGACCTTTGAATTTTAATTTAAATTTCATATTCTTATAGGATTATTTAACCATTCATAAGTATGGCAATGCAGCCAGAAATGATCTCTGGAATACATTATCAGAGGTAATGTATAGGGAATTTAAATATCAAGATATCAAGTTGAATATTTGAAGTGATATTTTAAGACATTATTAACTATTATTAAGGTTGAAAATTTGTCTTTGTATATTTTGATTTTCATCGCATTGATTTCCTTATATGTCATAAAAAGAAATTTAAAATATTATTTTAATTTTTTAAAAAAAGATGTTGGGCTTATTTTCAAATATAATAGTACTTTTGAAATTTAATTTAGTACTATATCAAGGATCCTTTTTTTAATTTTTTTGGTACCGGGGATGGAACTCAGGACCCTGTGCTTGCCAGGCAAGCGCTTATTCTACTGAGCTGTCTCCCCAGCCCCTGAGATTCATGTTAAACAGAGAACACAGACATTTTAAAGAACAATCTATGTGATAGACTTAGAGCAGATGCAAAATGATGCTGTAAGTTCTTGTTTTAACAATGGAATTTGTTTTACCTTCTGTTATGTAAAAACTTCATTAATAAAGCCTATATATGTATGTATTATAAATATGCATAACTTCAAGCAAGATTAATATTGTTAGCTCCCCTCACTTTTACTGTTTTCCTATTTTAGAAAAATGGAAAGATAGGGCCGGGGAGATGGCTCTGTAGAATAAGGGCTTCCCTGCCAAGCGCAAGGGCCTGATTTCAATCCCCAGTTCCGCCATAACCAAAAATAAAAATAAATAAATAGATAAATAAAATGGAAAGATAAAGAAGAAAGGCACACTATGTTAATTATGTCATTGTTCATGTTTACAAATCTAATTTATACAATTTTGGTTTAAAGGCTTTAAAAAGGGATGGAAAATATGTAAATATACAGGAAGTAATGGATCAGTGGACGCTGCAGATGGGTTACCCCGTTATCACCATCTTGGGAAATATGACAACAGAAAACAGAGTAATAATTACCCAACAACATTTTATTTATGACATCAGTGCTAAAACTAAAGCCCTGGAACTTCGAAATCACAGGTAACGTGATTTTTACATGAACAGTAGGCATTAACCGCTCTTTTCCACAGGCCAGCAGAAATCCACCGTGCAATGGTCCAAACCATCCTGCTTGTGTACGTAGATGTATCTCTTTCTACCACTCCCCCTTTGTTAGTATATTTTAGTTTGTACTTTGATAGTTTAAAATGTATCGATAAGACCGTTTTGAAGTATTATAACTGAAATATGATTTCTGGTATTTTATGTTCTGTTATTTTTATGTTATGGGTATTTATGTCACTTCATGTTCATTTTTCTTTTACTTCCATTTTATGGATATTGTCATTCTCAAAGTTATCATCTTTACCTTATTTACCATTTAGCGCATTATTTCAGCAGACATGACCTTAAATTATCATGGTAATGCCCGAAAACTAAATATCCATCAATACTTTTTGAGTTAGATTCAAAGCTGAATAAATACTGAGAGATTTGTCATCAAATGAGAAAAGAAGCAGACAATGCAAAAAAAAAAAAGAATTAAACAAAACATTAAAACTATGCAATGTCTCAGTCAAACTTTTAAAAGATACCTAAAATAATGTAAGTATCAGTGCACTAACAGGGTACTATGTTCTCTTCCTCTTAGACTTAGTGTTTGAAGCCACTAAATAGATACCATATGCGGAACCTTAATATTGAAACTCTAATTACTAATAATTAAGCATGTAGGATTTTTTTTCACCTTTCTACTTGATGTTTTCTATTTTGTGATGCATTATAAATGCTGAGCCAAACAGTCCGAGCAGAATTTCACCAGTCAGTCAGCTTCATTTCTGTAAGACGCCTTCCTAGGTGGTTGAGGTGAATGGGCTGGGAGAGAGAGGCTATACGAATAAACATAATAAGCAAAATTAGTTGATTGGATTAATTCTTGTGCTATCTCCCATTATCTTGGAAAATTAGGAGTCTGATTCTCTCAAGCACAGTATCTAGGAGACCTAGAGAACATGGTGGGATTTTTTATGTCTAACTGGAACAAGAATCATTCTCAAAACAGCTACCACCAACTTTGGATATATCGAGACGTGATTGAAAAAATTGTCAATGTTTTCTTTTGGCTCTATTTGGATTTTGATTTAGGAAAGCAGCAGCATACATCATACATATACATGTACATGATTAAGCCATATATATACATATATATATATATATATGATTAAAACATTTATATGCTTAAATCCTACATAAAAAGCAAGATGGATTATATCTTCCCAATATATAGATTGAAAGCCTTGACTCTTGCCGTCCAACTGGTGGACCCGTTCAATACCATTTTACCCTGCCACCCTGTCACTGCTGTCAGGGTCTGGCTGTCACTCACTCTGTCCCCAGCCTGGATTCCCCACAGCTGACAAGTGCTGATTCTAATCGCTTACCGTCTGGCCCCAGGCTAAACATGCTCAAGTATCAACCCTGGCCTTGCCAGGAAGTACATAAAAACTACTTGACTGTGGCAAAGAGAGAGGGACTCAGGCCAGGCCTTTGAGAATGCTCAGCCTGACACCAGCAAGATGGATGCAGAAAAAACATAAAGGACACACAGATGACAGAACACATTTTGACCTAAAACACTTTGTCAATCTGCACTATGCATCAGATGTACCATCAGTGAGAATTGCTCCATGCAGGAAAAATATCTCTCAGGGTGCCCAAGCATATGTAATATCTAGAGACCTTTGTGTTTGGTGGAATTAAAAAATGATATAGATGATTTTGAACTCTGAGTACTTGGCATACATACTAAAAGGAGGGCAATACAGGAGGTCATATTAGTCTCAAACATGATGTTCTATTTTGAAATAATAGAGCTTTTAGTTAAAAATGTAGTATTTCAAGTTCATATTATTGATCACTTAATTTACATTGGCATTGTAGTTAAGGTTTTGATATTACAATAATTTTATGTGGCCTTTGTATATTGCCTTACTAAGGCTAATATTGTGTGTTTTACACAATACACACAGTTGACGCAGGAAAATCTACTGTGTATCTAGAAGTCAAAAATCCTGTAAATTGTGGTTATTTATGCTTGGAGCCCAGCAAATCCTTCTTTGTCTTTATCTTCTTAGGGTGTCCAGGAACATCACTATGACTCCTGTGGAACCTTTTAGTATATCCAGTAATTATAGTTTTTATTTGTAATAGTTGTGTTACATCATAAAAGGAGAAACCTTTATATAAACAATAACTGCATAAAGTTAGTTGATATGTAGCTCTGTAAGCTGTGTTAGAGTTTTTGCGCTTGGGAAGTGTTGGCCCTTTTTCTGCAGAAAGTTAGTGCCTGTAGCGTGTCATGTCAGCTGTCACATGGAGGACCTTTAAGGAGTTTTGTACTTCAGAGAATGTCTCTCCATAGCGACCCTTTGCTTCTCTTACTACCCAATGGCAGCTATGTCTAAAGAGTTTTTCACAAAATCTATGCTACGTCCTTAATAACTTTAATATGATATTTTTTAAAAATACGGTTTCTCATAGCAGGTAAACAATGTGCCTTTTGTTTGCCACGATAATGTAATCGTTAGAACAAATGTTGCTTTACTATAAAAATATAAATGACACATGAGGACAGGGGAGTGCCGGAGACTCACGAAGAAAGAAATCCTAGCTTCTGAAATAGATTTTTTAAAAACTTTTTTAATGCTTAAAAGGAGATGGCTAAAATTTTAGTCAAGCGGGTAGAATACAATCAGATTCCAGGAGTTTTGCTTTCTAGGTTTTTTTGTTTTAATTTACTTTCTCCCATCCAAGTACTAACCAGGCCCGACCCTGCTTAGCTTCCGAGATCAGACGAGATCGGGCACGTTCAGGGTGGGATGGCCGTAGACTTAATTTACTTTCTGCAGTCTTTGAATTCCTCAGAGGTTCCTTTACTCTCCTGGTTCTTTCATAAGACAATAAAACAACATAATCATCATGCTCTCTTTTATTTTAGAGTGATTTTTGAACTGGACAAATACGTATTTTTTAAAAGTTATGAAATACAACATGCAATATCAACAGGTTATAACAATTTCAGAAATGAATACAAATTTCAGATATTGTTGGCCAGCTGGAACAATTGATTGTCTCAGTAACCATGTACACTGTCCGCCTATGCACATGTGTATAAGATAAAGTAGAACAGGCTCTTAAGAAGATATAAAAGCTCTTTGAAGAGTTTTAGTAACATGCCGCAATGTTTGTGTTTCAAAATCCTTAATAGTCCTTTTTCTGATTCAGACTGTTCAAGGGATACAATATCTTTCCATGTAGTGAATTGTCTACATGGATACAGTATTTGCTGGAAGTATTAGACAGCTATTAGTATCCACTGATCTTTATTGTACCTTAGAGTCCTTTTATAAACCTCAAATATTGAAATATGCCAATTTTGTCATAATCTCTGGTTATTTAGAAGAATGTAACTCTGATGCATGCAGTTTTATGTTGGTATTAAAGGAAAACTGTATTTAACATATTTTTGTTCTTGCTACCTAAAAAAAGACACATTTATCCTTGAGAACTTTTAAATATTCTTTACTCTTCAACCAATAGTTACCTGCTATTTTAGTTTACCCGACTCAGTGTGGAAGATGTATGCTAGACATTTAAGTTTACTATGTTGATCTTTGTTTTGCCTACAATTATGTTCCATTTGTTTTATTTTAATTTATGTCCATACAATCACTTTCAGTAATAATTTATTAAATGTCTCCTGTTTCCATACTTTTCCAAATGAGCCTATAATTTAACTTGAGATTCAGACTCAGAGGCAGAGACATTGCTATCTAATTATTCTAACCAACTGAAAGAGAGTCATTATTTTTAGAGAACAACTATTAAAGAAATGCATCAGCTCTGGGTCTTCTTCCCAGTAAACACAGCACGAGATAGATGCCGTATATTCTACATCCTTTCTGAGGAATGTCAAGGTATTAAAGATTTTACATTGGCATTCATTCACTAACTAATATATAAAGGATCAGTACAGATATGATGACCATAAATTATTTATATTAAAAATTATTATATAGAGTTCATTGTAGTGTAGCATAGTGTTTTTGCATAGCTGGTATTCAAAAATGTTTTTTTCGTTAAATTTAAAAATTTCAAATCTTAAATATAGTATTTTGGCTTTCTTTTTTTTTTTTTCTTTGGTGGGACCAGGGATTGAAGTCAGGCCCATATGCTTGCCAGGCAAGTACTTATTCTACTGATCTATCTCCCTGGTCCCTCCCCTTTTTTTGTATTTTAGGTAAGGGTATACAGGGTGTTCAGGATTTCCCTACTATGTCAGACTCTTAGTGATCTGCCTGTTTAAGCCTCCCAAGACTTGGGATTAGAGGCACGGGCCACCATGCCCAGTCTCAATTTGCACATCAGCACACCCGGGGGTCAGGACCAGCATGGCAGGCTCAGGGATTGAACCTTGGGCCCCTGCGCCTGCTTGCAGGTGCTTTAATCCACTGAGCTATTTGACCATTCCTAGTATTTTGGGTTTCAATAGCAAAGACAGCAGTTGGTAAAAATTCTAAATTTCTTCCAGTTTTTTTTTCTTTTGTGTCATAAAATTCTGTTTATCATGAATAAATATTTGAAATGATACACTAATCAGTCTTCTGTCTTGAAAAAGGCACATTCATTATACTTTATTACCCCACAGCTTATCTCCAAAAAGTTTTTAATTAACAACTCACTCACATAGTTATTGAGCTTCTGTTCTTGCACTTGTAAAATAAAAAAAGACTTTCCCCCCTACTTTAAATCACTGTCTACCCCTCCCGATAATGGTGCAAGAAAGATCACATTGATCTGGCCACATCCTAAGGGAAGAAGCAAAGTATAGTCACTAAATTTACTGTAAGTTCATCCCGCTCTGGTACTCATTGGAGCTAGCCCTGACATTGCTTTTAGATCCTTTTTTTTTTTTTTTCTATGAAAAGGTAAATGAAGAAAATACTTGTTTTCTATAGTTGAGACTCATACGTGACTTTCCATATGTGGTGGATGATTTAAAATTTCTTTGCCTGGGACTGGATTTTAGGGACAGATGATTAATTTTGTTCTTAATTTCCTATTTGCTGAATTATTTTAGATTTTCCACATTAATCTTTCTCTAAAATATGTTAAAGTATCTCTAATATCTTCTCTTACATTAGAATGTAAAAGCATGAAATTACTGAAAGTACTTTAACCTAGTATAGAAAGAAGAGAAAAGGAATTCCTTTCAGGTATTAGTAAAAATATAGTGTGGGTCATACTTAAAGATTTTTATTTTCCTTTAATTCTAAAACACAAATGTATTTCTTTTCCAAAAGGCAAAATATTTTGTCACAATTATATTTTGCACTGAAATTTTAAAACTTAGCGGCCAATTCTTCTTGGTGACAGGGAAAGAGGGAATTCATTGTCTTATTCTTTATTGGTACAACTAGGATTGGTTTGTTTGTTTATTTGTTTTCCTGAAGAGAAAAATGAAATTACACAGCAATGGCCTGGAAAATGTTTGGTACTTTGTGATTGTTTTACTACAGCTGCTGTTCCACTTCAAGTCCCCTCTTGTCTTGCAGTTACCTGTGGCAGATTCCATTGACTATTGTGGTGGGAAATAGAACCCATGTGTCTTCAGAAGCAATTATTTGGGTGTCTAACAAATCAGGTAAAATATATATTCTCCCCTGAGGAACTATTTGGTTTCAGGTAATTGTCGAGCAACTTAACCTCTGCTTTCAGCTCTTGTAAAATGTGAATAAAGACAATTTATAAAGAGAAAATAAAAAAAATTGGCCAGCATTTGTACAAAATTAGGGGTAGTGCAGTATAACTTCTAATTGGCCTAATTTTAGACTACCTAATTATTAAATTTATTTCATGGGAAAGAGAATATAAGTATTTGTCATACTAATCTTACCATCATAATTAGAGTCCCAAATGAAATTAAGTTTAATCATAACTCCAGGTACAACAATCTGTCAAATGCAGAAACAAACCTCATTTTAAATACCATTTTTATGCTTTTTTTTTTTAATCAGGCTGACTCTCAGAGGACTGTTAGAGGTAATAGTGCCCTTAGAACTAGATAACTCCAGGGTCAGGAGGGAGGGACTGAGGCAGGCCATCTACCCGTCTCCTAGTAGATCAGAGAGGAGCAGAGAGTGAGGAGATTCTAGGCTCGCTCCAAATACCCTCAGAGAAGACAGTGACCTACTTCAGTTCACTGTCAGAAAACTGTTTCTTGAATCCAGCCTGTATCCTTCATGCTAGAGTGTAGAAAGGGACCCTTTTATTTCTACTGAGTTGGACAAAAAGTCAGTTGTCATCTTTTATGTAAGATTTCATGTATATTTATCCAGGCAGTTGTGTTCTTATCTTTTCTTGTGCTAATCTCATATACTATTAATCAGTTATATCAATTTAAGTGGCTATCAATCTTTTTTGAAAATAAAGTAAGGTATAAATAAATGTATTTCTTCCCCTTAGTCTTGTTATTACAAGAGAAATTTAAGTGCTCAAAAACATATTTAAAAACAACAAAATCTATTTTGGATTCTAGAATTACAAACAAATAATTCCAGGTAGATTTTATTGTTGCTATATTTTAACATACTATCAAAATATGTTTTTACTTATACACACTATATATAAGAAACACATATCTAATGTAGTGGTGCACTGAAATACCTTAACATTTATTAGTATTTTTCCTTTTAAATAAGTATAATCTATTCTTTTCTATTATGTTCCTTAGATTTAGTATTTATGTCATACTCCTGAACTCACACTCCCTGTATTTTTTTCCTTATACTTTTTTTTAACTTATGTAGCCATTTCATCTATATAACTTTTTTTTTGTGTGGAACCAGGGATTGAACTCAGGGCCTTGTGCTTGCCAGGCAAGCACTTATTCTACTGAGACATCGCCCCAGCCTCTATATAACTTCTATTTTATTTTTATTATCTCAAGATTTTAAAAGTATACTTTATTCCTTAAAATATATACCATAATTGTGAATACTTATAAGAAAATTCCCTGAGAAAAATATGCATATTACTTACATAGGGTGAGGTGTTTCATTTGCATTTAATGTTTTATTATTATGGCGGTTAAAAATATGACATTTTTACAATTTTCTATTTTCCATCGTTTTTTTTTCCATAAATTTATTGAGAAACAAATAGCAATGAGACAGTTTCAAACCAAATTGGTAGGACAGTTTCAATAATTCACATATTGCATACATTTTTCCTAGTGGTTAATTGCTGTACAAGATGCGGACATGATATCCTACTTACAAACACCAGTAGAACAAATCACTCTATTCATTAAAAGAATGTAACTGTACATCAGTCCTAGCCATTTGAATACACAGATACAAAATGGACATTCATCTGCATCCCCTTTTTGTTGTTAAGTTCCGTTATTTGAATATTATAGGTGTGTTATAACTTTTAAAGAAGCGAATTTTTTATGAAAAAAAAAAGTTGTTATGGCTATGCTACAGATATGAGACTGAAATCATCCTACCATAAGGGATTACGGATGATGAGAACGAAGTTTCTACAAATAAAGGGAAATATTTTACCTTTTAAGGCAGAATGGAAATGAGGAAAAGCAGAAGAGTAAATATATGATCAATGATCAGGATTCAACCGACTCTTTACTTCTGGAAAACAGGAAAATTTCATGCAAGCTTGATCCTGCAGGATATGAGTGCATATCCCAGGTCCATTTCCTCTAATTCTAATTTGTCATGGCATCCTCTTATCCCACATAAAATCAAGAACTGTGCCATGGCTTTCCTTGACCTGTCAGCATGAATGGTTATATGATGAAGTTTTTTTGCATCAAGGAATAAAAATAGTTGTATTGGTTTAAACCATGTGACCACCTAAAATTTTGCTTGTGTATGTGTTTGTTAAATACAACTGCATGATTTGCAGCGTGCTCATTCTGAAAGGTGCTATTTTCACAGTCTGGGCTCAGAATGCCACATCCTCCTACCCCAGCGTTACACTGTGTGCAAGCCCCACAGTATAATCTATCATTTTCCATTAATCCATGGCGGAGACTTTTGCTCCATGTAAACATTGTCACAGGTGAAATGGTGAAGCTTTGAGGGAGATGCCCATATAAAGTCAAGTCCTGATAAAATGTTTATAAGCACAAACATATATAAAAAAATTTCCAAAGTTTTCTGAAAGAAAGATTACCTTCTTTTCCTTTCTCAATTTCATTCCAATTGCGTTGTTTTTTTCTGGATGCGATGGCATTGTAATGACTGATAATTAATTATATGTCACCATGTCCTTTTTGTTTAAAATATAGTCAACTAAAATCAGTAGTAGTTTTTCTGTGAAAATATAAATAAAATATTCTGTTCAGTTTTTACAAACATATTTGAAGAAAAATTCCACATTTAATTACATTAGCAAGATTAATATTTCTAATCAATTCCATCATCACTAGTAGTATAGATTTAATCTCAAGCAATATCAAGGCAAAATATAAATTTGATTTGAATCATCATATGTTTTGAATGGTTTATTTTCTTAAAACATTTGGAATGATTAATGAATTCCAAGGTAAGATATATGTCATTGTAGAATAAAAATGATTTTAAACGAATTATTACTTTTAATGGAAAGTTTATTTCCTTTTTTTTGCTGTGACATACCAACAAATTTATATTTTTCATGACTATTTAATTGTCAATGAAGGAGAGTAAATTTAATGCCAAACATTAGGGAAGATTCACAATAAAAGAAACTGATCATGAAAAGCACATAGGTATTACAATGAGCGTGATACAATGACCCTTTCCTCAAACACTGAGTCTTCTGTGACTCCCAAATTTTAAAATGACTAGTGTATTCATTCATCTTTCATAAGTGACGAATTAAGGCTTGAGACACAAGCAGAGCATCTTTCGATCAGTTTGTCTAATAGCTGGTTTTAGGAACTTGGTTATCTCTCTTCTATACTGTCCCGTGTTCACCTAGACATACTCAACACACACAGGACTATACACAACACACACAGGTAAGAATGTAACACTCCAGTGCGTTGCTTTGCAGGTCTAACAGTTTCAGCCAGCCACACAACGTGATGCTTTTAACCCTATGCATGCATTTCTTGATAGCTTCCAGAAAGGATTCTCGCATTTGATTTCAAAAGTGCAATGATGGTATCCATCTATGCTGCTATCCCTGGCTCTGTCTCATATTGTAACCTTTTCTTTTTTGGGGGGAGCGCTGGCTCACGCTACCCTTGGGGTGGGGCTGCCTGGCATGTGGTGCCCAGGAGATCAAACCATGGTCCCTGAGCTTTGCCTAAGCTTGCCCAAGCAGGTGCTTTAGAACACTGGGTTATCTTGGCCTGTTACCCTTTTTAACAAAAAATTCTAAGTTTTCTACTACTAGAAAATGCTGGATAGAAATACTGACTCTCATTTCCTTTTTATTCTGAGAAAAGTATAAAATATAAAATGTTATGAAATACAAATTATTCTCTTCCTTGGTATGGTCTGAATTTTGAGCCATTTTGGAAATACATATACATTTTAATTATTATTACCAATGCTCAAAATATAACTTCTATACTTTTTATTATGGTGCTCATCAGATACTGTACCTCATTAGGCCATTGGAAAAGATCTCTTTAAAATTCACTGCTTGCTATTAGGTAATTTGAAGAACATTTTAGGAATATAATTAACTACAACTGAAAAGATATTTAAAAATTTATTGCAAAATCTTTAACAGAATCATTTCTCCAAAGATCTAATTTGTAACAAAGGTTTAAAAGTATTCATGGAAAGTAATAACCTGCAGGTTTTAGTTCTAAATTTAATAATTATGTAATTAAAACAATAGGTGCCTGTCTTTCTCATTTGGTTAAGGGATGTAGTATGGGGATTAGTATTTTAATAAAAATGTGAATTTTACCTTGACTATAATCTACCTGTAAGTTTTGAATGGAGCAAGATAAAAAACTAGAGGTGTATGTCACATAGTGCTTAAATTATGGCAATAATCTAAAATATGAACAGGAAACCACTTTTAAACATAGATTTAAGATTGAAATCCATAACACTTCAAGTATGGAAAAATATAAATCATGTGTTCATTTATTAAATTTGGTGCTTTAGCATGTATCACTTATCAATAAAAATGATCAAATTTGGTGAATTCAATCATGATAATTTCTATAAAAAGCTACATATACCTAAAGACAATTAGGGTTACTTGGGAGAAAGAATATTCAGATATGATTAATTATAGTATGTACTTATGAGTCTTTTTTTAGTTTTTAAAAACTATATATTAATCATTTCTCATGTCATTGTTATATCTGTAAAATTGGAATGACCTTCAAAATTTCTTAAAGCAATTTGTAAATAATCACATTAAATTTTGTAAAATATATGAATTCATAAAGCTCCAAAGACTCAAGAAACTAGTTTTCATTTTAGAGAAATGTCTAGCATTCTTGATTTATTTGATTAACATGTCCAAGCCTCTTTTTCTATTTGCTCCAATGGACACAATTTATGAAGGATGCAAGAAGTTGAATGATCTTTGGAACATTATAGATTAAGTTTTTGTATGCTGTGTACTTTTGGTTTAGGTACATTTTGTTTTACAGCAAATTTTTAAAATGACTAATTTGTAACATTCATCAAATGAATCAATTCACTCCATTTGAAGTCTAAAACAATCATTAATGTCTACTCAGTTTTTGTGGTATAACATTTTGCTGGGTAGCCTCTACTTGAGACACGATGGGAATAG